ACTGTATATTTCCTATACTGTACATTATTCACATTTTTCTGTCCTTTTAAAGATCTGTCTGCATGATGTCGGGAGAGTTCTCGGTTCATAGATGCTCGGTCAGACGGTCACTCCATCTCCTCCTAAATGGGCGCAGAGCGACCATAACAGGCACCAAGATGCCCAAAGCGGCTAAAGCAGCAGCCTGAGTGTTGATGATAATGGCCTCATTTTCCATCCTCGAATATGTTATTTCCTTGGTCTCGGGATCCCTGTGTGTCATGGCAATGCGGGAGTTAATACCGTCGCCCCGAAACATGCGCCAGCAGAGGTTATGGTATTATTTGACAGTGTAATATAATAAAGAAACCCATGCAGCCACTAGTTAGAACACATGACAGAGGATAATTAGCATAGCAGCATTCATAGAAAGTCTGAAACAGAACTGCATGAATAAGGTATTTACAAGGATTATTAGTTTTCAGTCCAGAATACTGCTTGCACCTCATCTCCAAAGGCAGTGGAAATTTAATAATAGAATATCAAGATATTAAAGCAATGCTTAACTGAAATGGCAAGAACATATTCCCATTTATATGAAAAATTATCATGCATCTCATTTAAAGGTTAATTCATTAAAGAATAGTATAAGAAAATAAGCTCAAGAAATCTCAAGAAATCAGAGAAAGACAACATAGGTAACTCAATATTAATTATTAATTTATACTGTATACATAAAGTTTATTAATTTAATATACTGTAATACCTTAATGGAAACTTCCTGCTTAAATACTATTATACAGCTTTGACTGGATCTTAGACACCAGTCTACAGATATTTACCAAGACAATTTCAATCTAGTTGCATCTTTTTTTACACTCCTCATTAATATTATTATTGTGAGAAAATCCATAGGAGCCGTGATGAGGATTCAAACCTATGTGGTGGGTGTTCCCACGCACACATAGGTTCGAATCCTCATTACGGCTCCTACAGATTTTCTCATTGATACAGTCATGTTAGTGTGATTACTCTGTGTATTATTATTATTATTACAGTACAGTATTTAGGTTTCAATTTACAAATACTTTTTTTTTCAGATGTGTAGGCCTACCATTTATATGTCTTATATAAAATAAATTGACTTCGATAAATATGCATGCACTAATTTTAATGGTTAAAAATATTTTATGTGGGAGCAGAGGGATGAAAAATCTAGCATAGAAAGTAATGAAATACACTTTTCTGGTTGGCCTTAAGTAGCTTCCTGAGCTAGGTGCTGGTCCAGCCAAGCCTTAGGGAGACGCAACAGAGCTCTAGAATCCACCCGAGTCTACCAGAAGCCACAACAATTTGGCTCTATGAGGCAAGGGAAATTTGTGTATCAGATATCAACCAAAAATTTAGACAAAAAACAATCGGAAAGCATAAGCACTATAAACCTAGCAAGTGCTTTTAGAAAATCAGGTACCTAGAGGGAAGGAGGCAAATGATTACTGCTGCAGTTAACCCCTCCCCCCCTAACCATGATGTGATTGAACACCACCAATCTGGTGGTATTCAAGTCCAAGTCACATGGAATTCCAGCAACATTAACCAACATGGTGAACAGACACTGATAAGACAGAGGTGGAAGGCCCCAAAAGCCACTGCTGTCTTCAGGAAATGTGTAAATGCAAAATGAAGAAGTTTGCCATCAAACTCCCATACAGATTGAAGCCTAAAAACTCCAATTGCAAAGAGAGTGGCAGAAAGCCTTGAACCATCTAGATAGGTCATGCCGACAATTTTCTGGAAGAGGTGGTGCCTCAGGAAGAGATGGGCACAACGAGCCAGATGGGCACAAACCCACGACTAAACCGGCCACATGAGTGCTAGAAGGAATAGCCTGCTCAGGTCTCTATCTTGGCTAGCTAGCTAGGCAGGCAGGCTGATGAATAAGCAGACTGGCAAATCAGCAGGCAGGTAGGTCAGCAAGGTTGGCACACATGTAGGGAGGCAGGTCAGCACACAAGTAGGGAGGCAGGTCAGCACACAAGTAGGAAGACAGGTCAGCATACAAGTAGGGAGGCAGGTCAGCACACAAGTAGGGAGGCAGATCAGCACACAAGTAGGGAGGCAGATCAGCACACAAGTAGGAAGACAGGTCAGCACACAAGTAGGAAGACAGGTCAGCATACAAGTAGGAAGACAGGTCAGCATACAAGTAGGGATGCAGGTCAGCACACAAGTAGGAAGACAGGTCAGCATACAAGTAGGGAGGCAGGTCAGCATGTATGGAGGGGAGGCAGGTCAGCATGCATGCAAGAAGATAGGTCAGCATTCATGGAGAAGGGAGGTCAGCATGCATGCAAGAAGGTAGGTCAGCATGCATGGAGAAGGGAGGTCAGCATGCATGCAAGAAGGCAGTTCAGCATGCATGGAGAAGGTAGGTCAGCATGCATGCAGAAAGACAGACAGGTAAGGTTGGGCAGATACAGGAATCCTATACAGCCCAAGCTCTCAATGGGCCTTATCAGATCTGTCATTGCCATGGGGGTTGGTGGGTGGCTGTCATTGCCATGGAAGTGGGTGGGTGGCTGTCATTGCCATGGAGGTGGGTGGGTGGCTGTCATTGCCATGGAGGTGGGTGGGTGGCTGTCACACTTTTATCCTGTTGGAGTCCCCGCCCCAACTCACCAACCCTACCCTTCCACCTGAGTGAAGATATATGCACCACTTACACACCAAAACTGCTGCAAAAATCCATTGCATTTTCTTATACAAATTTAAATTTGGAAATGACTGAATAAAAATTATTTGGCACTACCCTTTGGAATGACTGTAATGCCTTGTAATAATATCCCGCCCTCCCTTCCAGATCCACTGGTAATTCGTATTAACTCCCTTAGTAATAAGGGAGCCGGTCGGCCGAGCGGACAGCACGCTGGACTTGTTATCCTGTGGTCCTGGGTTCGATCCCAGGCGCCGGTGAGAAACAATGGGCAGAGTTTCTTTCACCCTATGCCCCTGTTACCTAGCAGTAAAATAGGTACCCTGGGTGTTAGTCAGCTGTTACGGGCTGCTTCCTGGGGGTGGAGGCCTGGTCGAGGACTGGGCCGCGGGGACACTAAAAGCCCCGAAATCATCTCAAGATAACCTCTCAAGATAACCCTCCCAACGTAAGCCAAGTGCCGTAATATTTCTCAAATTAACAAGCAAGCAGTAATAAGCCATGTAGGTTATTAGTAATAATGCACAGGGTACTTACCACACATGACATACCAGTGATCAAAAAGGGACTGGCATTAATATTGCTTACAAATTTAATTAATTAACAAACATCAAGTGGCAGTCACAATTCTGAACTGCCTCTTTGTAGACAAAATGTTGAGGGTTAGACAAAGAAACAACACTCGAAGAAGAGAGGAGGATAGATGGAGACATGACTTAAAAATATAAAATGGTTTGCATTTACGCAAATTGACCCGAGCACCACCATCTTTAGTGGCCTCAATGGGGACAGGAAACCAATTACTTATGAAAATTTGACCCCAATTGTCTGTAAGTCAATTTTCCAGCTGAATTTTAAACTTGAGTTAAACTAGAGTACAGTCTTGGCATTTACAAGTGCCATCTGTTCCAGTGCATGCGCTGTATTGGAGTATCGGTGTTGGTTAATAAAGCAGTAACAGTCAAAATATTGACATTGGTGCACCTCCAGCATAGCCTACACCTAAAATTACTTTAAAAATTTAACTGAAAAGATTTTTTAAATTGCTTGAAATACTTTCTTCAGTTTGAAAAATAACAAATACACACAATATAAAGAAAACTAATTCTACCATTTCATGAAAACTTAAAATTCCTAAATTACTCTAAATTTTTAATACCTATATGGTATTTAGGAAGAGTGATATCATAAAAAAATCTTTAATTAAAAATGCACCTAGTAACTATACTGAATGTTTAGAAATCTCTTGTAAATCATGAAATAAAATCTTTGTGGGACAGATTGACAAACACCTTGACCAGAGAATAAAAGAACAAAATATAGCATAGCGACAGGTCAAGATTCCAATGATTTGGATCTTCTTTTGAGTGTTTCACACCATTCAATTTACTAGATTAATTCACTAACAACTACTGGATGTAAATTTATTACTGAATATTATGTAATTCAATCTTCTTGTAATAAAAGCAGTGAATTTTATTATATATATATATATACTGTATATATATATATATCAGCCAAAGATTATATATATTAGATAGCTTCCCAATTGGCAAGATGGGAGAGAGATATAAAAAGGTGTGAAAGTTGTGTTACGTGCTGGTGACATCAACGTCACCTCTCACAGTCGTCTGTATCAATTCATGAAGTTTAATCTGCCTATGTGCTGTGTCCTGTGTGTGTATATACTATATATAAACTGTATATACTGTACAATAAATATCCTCTCCCCTTCGTCTCTGTCTATAGCATACTGCTTGAAAATGTCTTAATACAGGAAGTGTTAATAAATGAAAGCATTTTCATCATTGTAACTCTTTTCTTGTCAGTACTTATGCATAACTGTATTTTTTGGATATACTATATAGCATACAAAATATTGTGGGAAAATATGTGTATGGTGCCTTCATATGACCTATGATCTCTCTCTCAGTCTTTCTCTGTCTCTATCTTCGTCTTTCTGTGTCTGTGTGTATCTCTCTCTTTGTATTTTTCTCCTTCTTTCTTTCTATCTCTTGCTCTCTCGGTCTCTCTCACTCTCGGTCTCTCTCTCACTCTCGGTCTCTCTCACTCTTGGTCTCTCTCCCACTCTCGGTCTCTCTCTCACTCTCAGTGTCTCTCTCACTCTCGATCTCTCTCAGTCTCTCTCTCTCTCTGTATTGTCTCTCTCTATCAGTCTCTCTCTCTATTGGTCTCGCTCTCTCTTGCCCTAGCTCTCTCTCAGTCTCTCTCTCTTTCAGTATCTCCTCTAGAGTTGTTAGACGAGTTATTATACCAAGTAGGAAAATGGGGTAATGATGATCATGGAAATTTTATCTATACTTTTTTGATACAGTATTTCAAATTGGTATTACACAAGGAAATAGTAAGAAGTTGGATGGCAAAGAAAATGGCAATTTAGTCATATTCTTGCACAATAAACATTAAATATATTGAGACAATTGAATTTTGTTCTATTAAAGTATTATTTGCATTAACAAAATCTTATAGATTTTATGTAGTTTTCATTTAAAAAATAAAAAATCATAATTTGCTAAATATTGTACAAGAATCTGTATTTAACATTCCATGCTAATCTTTTACAGATTATCCACAAAGTGACTTTAACTTCACATATATATACACACACAAAACAATTACTTTGTCAAGAAATAAATGGCTTTTATTGAATATGAAAAGCATTTTTCTGAGCAATGACAGTCTATTGCCTACTAAGGTGCTATGGTGTTTTGTTCTCTGTGCAATGATTGTGACAGGTCAGGAAGGCGACATTCACAGCATCAACGACATAAGGAACTTTTTAGCTGTCCTTGTAGGTCATTAAGGTGTTAAAAATATCACTAGAGAAATGGCCAATCCAGCCCAAACTGACCTGACAAGATGTGGATTTCAGAACAGTTCCAAATTGTGTAAAAGGTCTTTCTTTTAATCAAATCTAAGCACAAAATGAGGTCTTCATCTAACATATAACATCTGCTTGGTAACCTAATACTCCCCAGCCACCACTAGATGTCATTGTCATCACCACAACATAGTCCACCTTGCCTCACACCAGCTTATCCTGTTCTTCCCAAGACACACACAACAGACTGCCAATGAATGTAAACAGAAGAAGGGAAATGAGGGAAGAGTAATTGGTGCAACGATATGGCATTGTTCAGAAAGATTCTTTTAAAAAGTATTGAAAGCAATAAATATTTCAGAGCTACAGTATTTATTGTATTCTGATGCTCCCTAAGGTAAGCATCACACAAAACTTAAAAGAAAATTAAACACAAAAATCAAGGGAGAACTCACCGACAATGGTGGGACATGCAAGGCTTCCGAGTTACAAAACTCGGATAGGTAGTCAATAGTAGGACGGTTACTTGAAGCAAGAAGAGTGACAGAGTTCCATAACAATCTCGAGGACCGGGCCGCGGGGACGCTAAGCCCCGAAATCATCTCAAGAAGGGTGGCAGAGAAAGTGTTCCATAACAATCTCAAGGGTGGCAGAGCAATTGTTCCCATGCCAATCTCAAACAGGGAAGGCTCCGAGAGGGCTGAAACTGGAATTTAGCAGACTGACCAAAAATCCAGCATTAAACATAATAAAATGCCTCTTTCTGGTGGGTCACTTTGTGGTTCCCCTGGCCACCCACCCACTCGCCTAGAAAAAAACTTGGCCCAAAGGGGATAAAGAAAGAAGAGGAAGAAAAACCAGCACTGATCCAGAAACCAAGAAGGCTCAGGAAGAGAATTAGCAGACCAGAGGTGAAAGAAAGGAAGAGATAACTTGTGAAATGGGAACAACAACACTGACATCAAATGCCAATGAGAAAGGCTTCACCAAAGCCAAATGATACGAGGCAACAGTATTAGGCATCAAATGACAGTTGACAAAAGGCCAAGAAAGAAAAGACAACCAGAACCAAGATAAAATAAGGCCTGCCACCTACTACCCATGCAGATGGTCATAAACAAGATTCAAAAAGTCCAGTACAGTGATCAGCAAAGAGCTTCAAGTGCAGAAGTGCCAGATATCAAGACTGAGCCAGCAACCAAGGAGTGAGAAGGAACACCCTATCAGCAAACTTCTGCAATCTGGAAAAAAAAAAACAGGAGAAAAAGCAAAAAGAAGGAATGCATAACGGAAATTCCAGCAACTTTTGGTGCCCACAGCAAAAGCCATGCAATCTAGGAACAGGGCCACATAAAACAATTACTGTACACAGCAATTCATTTAACTGTAGACCAAACCAGAAAATTGGTGGACTGCAATCTATTGAGATCAGTAGTTAAAAATCCCAAAAAGTAAGCAGAAGACACCTGTAGAGAATATATATTTCCCAAGTTTATGATCAAGGGCTCTGACACTAATGTAACAAAACTATATACAGAATTCCAAACACACATCTAACTGAATTTAAATCTAACATCAGATTTAATAATATAAACAAATATCAGGAACAGCTGCCCAAAAGTTTGAGGCACCATACATGTAAGGCACAGAATATGCAGCCAGCAGGATGAAAAAAACATCTATTATCGATTCTATATTGTGTCTTGTTAAGCTATATGCTTTAGCCTCCTTGTATGACTGACACTGACACTTAAAAAGTCATCTAGATTCAAATCTTAAAATTTATATATGCATTTTAAATTACTTTATATCATCTCTGTCACGTGTGGTTTGTAGTGGTGTCAGTCCAGTGACCCTCAACCTTTCCTGGTAAGACAGTTGACTTAGTTGTGGAATAATGTTTGATCACAATGCAGAGACTGCCTAAACAGTTCCATTTGGCACCATTACCAAGAATATCAGCTTCCTGATTGTCATGACCTGTCCAGGGGACACATCCACCATTCATATCGCGGGGGCAACCAAAAGAAATAATTAAGAAAAACTAAATCAAGACTATGATGACCAGTGATTTATGAATAATGCATCCAAATTTTGGTAGTATCCACATCAAGATCTAATAGTACAAATCCACATGTAACATATATGAACTAGAGTATGCAGTTAAAAAATGTACATGCCAAATGCTCCTCTACTTCAAGTCACAGATGAAGAGTTCTAATATATAATTTATTATACTAAAAATCTGATAAATGGGGATAATGTAAAAACTCTTACTACTCTTGAATAATAATGAAAATTTTAATTTAATGTTAATTTTCTCCATTCAAGAACAGTATCAGTATAGTTAGTATATAGAAAACTACAGACTAAGTCATGTCATAATTGACTCTATTCATGTTCTCTATAGTAATATGTTTTCTGAGTCATAACGTAATGTGAGTTGGAAGGCGGATCAATAATAGCCACTGGATGGCTGCTTCGTGCATATCGTGAGGAGTACAGTAGGAAGCCCATCAATATGGCCAACCCTGCTAGAGTGGCAGCCTGAGCGTTGATCACCCATGCCTCATCCACCATCTTAGAGTAGTCTGCACTGTAATGGGGGAAGGAAAAATGATGGTCTAATGAGCTATTACGATATATAATCCTTTCTTACTGTACCGCTGCTGCCTCTGGTTGTCAAGAGACTGGAGAATAGGTCAAAGGATGGCTGAAGAGAAAGGGATAAGTAAAAACATAAATAAACCATTATCTATGTGGATAACCATCTTACTTAAGGAAACAATTTACAAAATTCTACATAAAAATAGCTTTTGAGCTTTAATGAACCTTGGCAATGTCAAAGTTATATTCAAGTTAACACTCATGAGTACGTGCATTCGTTCACTCATGCATGCGTGCACGGATACATGCACCCACACAACCTACACATTATGTGAAAAGATATTAAAGAACTATGTCAATGGAAGGAGTAGCTCTGGATAGTAAACTGTCACCAGGAAACCACAAGGGGCACTGTGAGAGGCATTTATGCTATGCTTTAAACTTCAAAATTGCCTTGCACATGGATGAAGAAATACTAAAGAAATTGTTCACAATACCTGTATTTGTGAGACCAAATTTAAAAAATGTAGCAATTGTACGGTATCCATATCTCAAGAAGTGCATCAATAAACTTGAGAAAATTGACAAGCAGGAATTTTTTAAACCTGCAACTTCAAGAACTAAAGTCCATTGAGTCAAGCTAAAGAAATGAAGGCGTGGAAAAAACACACAATAATTCTCTTTTGCGAACAAAATTTTAAAGTTGGAACAATATAAGTGTGGTGGTAGTGGATGCCAAAATAATCAATCATCAGTTTCAAAGTGTCATGTGACAAAGATTATAGGAAAGACAAGACACCATGAGAATAGCCCTGATCCTGTAACTACGCTTAATTATTCAATCACTCAAACACACACACACACACAAGTTGTAAAAGAGAAAGAAACAATCAAAGACGAATGTTTTGATACACAGAGAAATCTCATTATTCAAAACGTATGTTTTGAATTAAAAACAAAAATGAGCTACAAAAAGCAGACATTAGATAAGCAATTACAGAAGAACTGGTTATAAACAGTAAATGTTGGTAACCGAAACATGGCAGATAGGAGCAAATCTATAATCATTTTTGGGTGCTTAGAAAAGGAAATAACATCTAGGATAGACAGAGCAGCAGAAGAGGAACAAAACATTGAGAAAATTGTAGTTTAGGGAAAGGCCTCACAATAAAGGAAAATATCAGTGATTTTAGAAGGATTGGCAAATATAAAACAATTGCCCTTTAAGAGTGACGGACATTTTATGGAGTGAAACAAATGACAGAAGTGCTTAGGAATGCCAGGAAATTCCATTAATAGGAATAGGAAATACAGTAGGAGCATAGGAAACTTTGGTAACCAAGATGAGACCTCTCAAAAGAAGACAGAGGAATGCCAAAACTAAACCTTGATGAAGTAAAACTTCTATCTCAATGGAAACAAAAACAAAGAATTTATCACAAGGTTATAGGGATCGAGAATCTGGTGAAATGGTACATAAAGGTAAACCAACAAAATCATTAGACTAACAATTCAAGCTAAGGAAACAAATGTGCCAAAAAATTTAGAACGTTCTCTTTTGCAAACAGTGGTAGACAGAACAAGATAAGTGAGAAATATACGACTTGATAATGGTCCAGGATGGACCAAAAAGTTGTCGTTTTTTCATCTTCTGGTGTGTGGTTTGGTCATCATATCTTCAGCCACGTTATTGTGACTCATCGTTTGCAAGATAAGTGAGAAGATGGTGGATGCCAAAACCATCAGTTGTTTCAAAGCATCATATGACAGAGTTCCGGGAAGATGGAATACCGTGAGCATTGCTCTTATTCTGTAACTACTGTACACTTACATAATTACACATATGTATGCTATGTAATGATAATTTAATTTACTCATGAGTAATACGTGAAAACTGGCTTCAAGCAACATAACAGTTTTATACAAAAATTCAAACAGAAAAAGAGATCTAGAGGTAATTTTGGATAATAAACTATCACCAGAGTTTAAACTATCACATCAATGGCATTTTGAGTAGCCTACGCTACACTTGCAAACTTCGAAATACCCTTTAAATACTGTACTAAAGTAATTATTTGCAACATTTTTGAGAGAAATTGGAGTATGCAGCAGCTGTATTTTACTCATATATATATAAAATAAAAATATGCACATGAACAATAAAGAAAACGAGAAAAGGAGTGCTACCATAAGGTTTCCAGACCTAAAATACAAGAGTTATAAGAAAAAGACTTGTGGCATTAAACATGCAAAAAGCTCGTAGACAGATGGAAAAGAAGAGATATGATTACAAATAAAAAAATGCATCATCAGACTGCTAAAGTGTTAAGTATTAGCAGGTTCAAAGTAGCACTTAAAGATTATAGGGAAAGCAGGATACCAGAATCATAGCTCTCATCCTGTAACTACATTTAGGTAATCATAATTACATGCCAGCACTTGTACACATAAGCCAAGGAAACAAAGGTGTCAACAAATATTAGAAAGTTCTCTTTTCCAGACGGAGTAGTAGATGGTTGGAACAAGTTAAGCGAGGTAGTGGTGGATGCCAAAACCGTCCGTAGTTTCAAAGTGCCACATTACAAAGAGTACCAGGAATGCAGGACACCACGAGCATAGTTATCTTGTAATTACACTTAGGTAATTATATATACAATCTTTTGTGTAATTACCAAAACACATGTAATTGACTCCTCCCCCCCCCCCCCCACCCGGGTCACTAAATGGACACCCCCAGGTTACCCACAGTCAAGGAACACTCCCGGCCTCCCAGCTGGAGGTTAGGGAAAACAAACCAGGTGCCAGGTTACACACCAAGGAACCCTGGGTACAAGCAGGGGTACCAGGACCCACAAGCATGAACATCAGGAGGTTAGATACCCCAAGGGTCTGGGAACACTCAAGGACAACTACAAAACACTGAAGGCTGAGAACATGTGTGTATACAAAACCAAGAAGGTAGAGATTTAAGGAAAGGCAACTTAGGCAAGCCTGGGAAGTATACCTGCAGCCCAGGTGGACACAAGCATATAGTGGCACACACACTGGAGATCTAGGGGTGGTTCTAGATAGAAAACTATCACCTGAGGACCACATAAAGAATATTGTGCGAGGAGCCTATGCCACGCTTTCTAACTTCAGAATTGCTTTTAAATACATGGATGGCGATATACTAAAGAAATTGTTCACGACTTTTGTTAGGCCAAAGTTAGAATATGCAGCAGTTGTGTGGTGCCTATATCTTAAGAAGCACATCAACAAACTGGAAAAGGTGCAAAGACATGCTACTAAGTGGCTCCCAGAACTGAAGGGCAAGAGCTACGATGAGAGGTTAGAGGCATTAATATGCCAAAACTAGAAGACAGAAGAAAAAGAGGTGATATGATCACTACATACAAAATAGTAACAGGAATTGATAAAATCGATAGGGAAGATTTCCTGAGACCTGGAACTTTAAGAACAAGAGGTCATAGATATAAACTAGCTAAACACAGATGCCGAAGAAATATAAGAAAATTCACTTTCGCAAACAGAGTGGTAGACGGTTTGTACGTGTGTGTGTCACACACCGTCAGTAGTTTCAAAGCGTTATATGACATAGAGTGCTGGGAAGACGGGACACCACGAGCATAGCTCCCATCCTGTAACTACACTTAAGTAATTACATGAGGGACTGAAGTAGACAGCTAGTGCCATTATAAGCCAAGAGCACCACTGTCCATACGATGGGGAACATAAACAAAAGATAGTCTACTGGCAGCAACAATAAAAAATAAAACAGTTATGGTGCAAGTACAAGACCCAAAGCAAGCCCTGTAGAATAGGATTCAGAAGAAGAGCCTACCCTGTGGTGCAGTGGTAAGACACTCGACCTGTGCTTCATGAGTTATTTGGCCTGGGTTTGTATCCTGGCCAGGAAGGTTTGACTAGGTGCCAATCTTTAACTAAGTCTCTGTTCATCCAGTAGTGAATTGGTACCGGGTTGTTAAACAATTTGGTGGATCGTATTCTAGGGAAAATAAATATTAAGGACTTGCCTGAAACGCTATGCATGCTAGAGGCTTTACAAGAATGTAATAACTCTTGTATATATAAATAAAATTAAAAAAAAAAGACAAGACTGCAGAAACCTGAAGAGACTGTTCAGATTTGAGCTACGTACCAGACTCAAATACACTTAAGGAGGAACAAACCATAAAGCACAGAAACAAGAACAGAAATTGGTACAAAGGACAAACACAGACCTCAAGACAAACCCAAAATCCTGAGACCCTCCCTTATCACTGAACAGGTAGGGCCTGGGACTAAACTTAAACCTTCCCTGGGGCCTGAAGACTGGAAAGAGAAGACGGGAAGGATTTCCAGGAACAGGCCTTCAACCCCTAAAAACATTCCACAAAAGCAGGGAAAAGGGGGAAGGTTGCAAATGCAGGAGTAATCTACAGGGCCACAAAAATTCTGGAGGGAACAGACACAACCACTCACCACTCACAATTAAGGAGTACTCCTTATTAACTGGACATGTTCCAATAAATGGAGATGGAAAACCAAATATTTTTCCAATTAACCCAGGAATTCCGAAGAGGGATTTGAATAATAGGAGGTCACACTATAACCTTTTGATTGTTTCGACCCCTGAACAAATGTAAAAGTTAAAATAACTTACACAAAATTCTGAATTGCAACTGACCTTAGAGAGAAGAAGGCCTTTTCCGTGTATCCTGTAACAGCAGTGGCAATCGCAAGCATAAATGTGATGATCCCAAAAGTAGCATGGACTGGAACCAGACCAGAACGGAATCTGGCTGTTCCTTGTTCACAGCAGAGCAGCAACCAGAAACTGAAGAATCCAACCACCAGCTGAAACCATTACATATTCAATAAATATTTAGTGGAACAAAATTATATTTAATAATAATTAATTAAATAAGAAATCTGCCTCCTAGGGATGAGTAACTAATACATTAAACTAGGAATGAATGATGTAATAAAATTACATGCACTTGTTACAAATAATTCATGAAATATTCAAGGTCTATTCTTGAAGAATATGCGAATAACTATTATAGTAGACATTATATATTATACTGTTAAGTCAAAAGGGTCAGAGTCATTTAATTATGATACCATGCCTCATCAGTTCACTAAGAAATGCCATGTGATGAACATTATGCTTTTATTTAAATGGTAAATTATATTTTCAGTTTTATTGTGTGAAAATATAGCCCAAAGTGCAGGGCAGTGTGAGCAAGAGAGCAAGCAATCGGGCATCTTACTAACACATCACACCACTCAAGTGCATTGAACCTCAACCATTGCATCAAACTGTATTTCATTACCATCTTGAAGATGTGGTATGAGCCTTTTCGATCATACCACATCTCTCGTACATCCTTATAACTATACTGTAACTATTTCACATAAGGAAGAGATAATAGAATTCATTGCATAAACTTATTGACTCTCTGGAAGTCACAGTTTTGGACAAATCAGATTGGTCCATACTCTGATTTGTAGCTATTGGCCTAGACTACAATCAATAGAGTACAGTACTGTACAAGGTTATGTCAGCACTGTGGAGAAATGCCCAACAGACCGCTGGAACATTATCTAACACAGTGCACAGTTACAAACATAATAAGATTTCAACTTAGATTCAACAAAGCAGAAGTTGTTAAATACATAGGACAAAATCTTACTGAAGCGACCATACGAGTCATAAATACTCATACTCTGCCTAAGTAAAACAGAAACAAGCAACACTTAGTGGGCCAGCCAGAGGCTTAGGGCCCACGCAGAAATTTCCCTGCAAAAAAAAATGTACAAGGCCATTAAGTCAGAATTCAAGCAGCATGCACAATAAACAATTTGCCTTGGAGTAGAGAGAGTGTGTCAATACAGTACAGTACAGTATTTTATATACCTGATCAACTAGGCTGTGATTCATACGTCAGGCTGCGAGCAGCCGCGTCAAACAGCCTGGTTGACCAGTCCAGCAACAAGGAGGCCTGGTCGATGGCCAGGCAGCGGGGACGCTAAGCCCCGGAACAACTCCAAGGTAACTCCAAGGAGCCTAGGTTCATCAAACCCCATATGTTGGTATGCTACTCTTAATAAGGTTAATAAAGACAATACTGTATCTATAAAACCTTTAGCATAATAAACAGTATACTATAACACAAAAATCCAGCACTGAACGTAATGAAAATCCTCTTTTGAGTCACTTTGATGGCTCCCCGAGCTACCCACCTGGTTACCTCCAAGCCTAAGGCACCACAATTAGGCGTTTACAAGTCTAGTACATACTGGAGACCAGGTTCAGAATCTGGCCCTTGCAAAGGAGGCTGGAAATACTAGATCACTAGTTTCCAAACTCTTCCTGGTCACTAACCCCCTTTTTCATATGGCGTTCTTATTAATGGCCTCCTACACTCGGTTTAAAAAATAAAAAATTTAGTAACAAATTTTATTTTATCATTTTCTTTCTTTGAGTATCATAACCTGTACACTGCCTCAACTTAAGGTCCCCTACATATTGCAAAAAGCCCGCCAGGTTTAGGAACCAGTGTACTAGACCAACCCAGGCCAAAAGGAAAACCCAACAGAATGGTAGAATGCCCCCAAAATGCATAACAACAGAGAAATATGGTAACCCTGACACATTACGTAAATACTTGGTGTCCATACCCAATTATGTGGTTGTTATATGCCCATAATTATCCTTTCTGTAAATGCAATTCCATCTGTTGGGTTTACATTTTAATCTCTGGGTCTGCAACGTGACGTTGTTGGTTCTTAATTTTAGCCATAATTCCTGTGTGGTACAGTTTCTTAGGCACTAGCTACTGTATTGGATGGAGAATCCCATCTTTGCTTTTGCAGTCCAGACCGTTATCGTCCCAGAATTGGAGCCCACTCCAATTAGAGTAGTAGTTCTTGGAACCAATCTTAAATCTACTGTCAATGATGATGGCAGTGATGTGGAGGGGCCGAGGCTGGGGGCCGTCTCACCGTGTGTGTTACCTGGAGCGCGAAGAGTCCGATGGTAACCACGCCCAGCCAGGAGTGCAGAGAATACAAATTTGGGATAGGAGGGGTCCGTAAGTTGTGAGAGTCAAATACTGTAATGGTGCCCACAACAATGCATGGAACTGCCATCAAATGGAGGAAGGTATGTAGAACCTTGGCTGTTAATTTGTTGCAGCATCGAAATAAACGGTAGACCAGCATTGCTGTAAAAAAAACAACAAGAAATAAAGATTTTTAATTTATTAAAATTACAACATTATACAATTACAGTATTACACTTGTAATTAAACACAATCATGAAAGGAACATACATGCACAATGTTTGAATTCAAGTACAGTAATAGTTCATATCAAATGGCAAGAGAGATTGTATTATATTGCAACGTCACCTTTAAGCATATATTTCCCAGGATCATAACCGAAATTAAGCTAGCTTTCCAAGTACAGTATATACTGTCCAACCAATTGGACTGGATGGTAGAGCTGCAGTAGAGCTTCTTGCAGGTCAGTGTTCAATCCCCAATCATCCAAGTAGTTGGTCCTTGTCTCTATCCTATCCAAAATCCTTATCCCCTTATTCCTTCCATGTATTATACAGTACTATACACTATACTATAGTCAAAATGGCTTAGTGCTTTCTCTTCATAATTACTTTAACCTCATGTTCCAAGCATAAACAATGAAACCAGAAAAAAGAAAAGTTATAATCTAGGGCGCTAGCTTGGGAGAAGCACGTGAGTGGGTTCGAATCCTCCTCATGGCTCCTATTTGGCTCCTCATGGCTCCTCTTTGGCTCCTCATGGCCCCTATTTGACTCCTATTTGGCTCTTCATGGCTCCTATTTGACTCCTCATGGCTCCTATTTGGTTCTTCATAGCTCTTATTTCAACTGATTAGACAACAGCTTTTTTCCAGATAAATTATAATGCATATTTATGTCGTGCATGTGATACATTGGCACTCTTTACCTGTGCATGGAAGTGCAGTCCCTTTTGTTATGATGCCTTGGCAGAGGTTTTGTGGCTCTATTGGGTTTGCTATTTTTGTTCCATCCATCACCTATCTTCTTATTGTTTTTACATGGTTAAGGTTAATGTCGAGTTTCTTCCTCTGCCTTTTCTTGTAGACACTGCTGCCAGTATTGGTCCTAGTGACCTAGCATTGGCCTTTCCTTGTCATCCCTAATTTGCTCCCCCAATGGAGTAGTACTTTAGGAACAATATCAGTCTCAAAACTTGAACAGACCTGTTAACCAAAGATATCTTCTGTCTGGTCGCGCTGCCTAATGGCAGGAGGAACTGTAATGACTTTGTGGGCCATTCAGTATATAATAAGCTAGGATGCTACTTGGCAGCCCCCTGATGCAAAGTTGCACCTGGAAAGGCATCAAGTGCTTGTAAATACTTTTGTCTACATTCAGGACTGCACTGAATGATCTCCAGTGTGCCCCAAGCACAAGTACTGTATGACCTGCGGGAGACAGTCTGGATAGTTGCCCGCTACTCCGGTATACAATGTCGACCTGCCCTGACTGTACCCACAGCCTAACCTAGGGACAACAGGATCTTGCCTTAGTGAGCAACCAAGTCCTGTATATTGCTTGGAATATTTATTTCCACATACTTTCAGTGCCTAGTCATTACCAATTCCTTAGCCATTAGCTTTAGTTAAACTGCATCTGCTTTAAAATACAGTACATACAGTATATTACTCACCATGACCCATAAAGAATATAAAGCCACAAATCATTAGGACAGGATGGTAGTTGAACTCTTTGGGGACATCATCTCGCCAGGCGAAGCCACCGCGGTAATATACGACCCAGAAGAGTACCAGACTCAGCAAGCCAAACATGAGGATCTCGGCTAGGAACACCAGGCAGTAGAATATCAAGGACGACGAGGTACTCATCTCGCCACCATAGCTGTCACGGTGTGCCCGTCTGTAACGTAAGAAAATATGCATCACATACTATATAATAATATAATGCTATAAAAATGTTATATAAATACCTTTCATAAAGAGACTCGTCACAGAGGCAAATGTTGTAAAGTACTGTATTTGGAGCTTTCACAGACCCCCACATAGGGTAATCAATGGCCACAAGATCTAGATATCAGGATGCAATTTATATAGTGTGAGTGGGTAAATAGATCATATGGAGGAGTAGGTTTCTATATTAGAGAGGACCTTATATGCTCAGAGCTCCTAAACTCTACAAATGAAGTGATAAAGATACTTGGAGTGAAAATTATTCAAAGAAACCTAGTTATTATTCTCACATACAAATAACCAAATGCAACAGTTGAAGAATTCACAGACCAAAATTCAAAAGAGAGAATAGCCTATATAATCTGTCAAACCCCATACCAGATATTATCTTCCTCGGAGACTTCAATCTGCCCAGTCTAAGATAGCAAATAACATACAATAAAGTTATATCAGGAAATCAACCAGGAAATAAGCAGCCGCAGGCCAGACCTACTGTTCTCTGACCTGCTCTGTGACAAATTTTGCTCAACCAACAGATAACAGAGTCAAGAGGGAACAAAAATATTATAAATATGATCTTCTCAATGTGCCCCCCAAAAATTATTATTAATTAATATATTAATTATTACTGGCGTTCTGAGAGCGCTATGTCATGGGTTCGTATCCTGGCCGGGGAGGATTTACTGGGCGCAATTCCTTAACTGTAGCCTCTGTTTAACGCAACAGTAAAATGTGTACTTGGATGAAAAAACGATTCTTCGCGGCAGGGGATCGTATTCCAGGGACCATAGGATTAAGGACTTGCCCGAAACGCTACGCGTACTAGTGGCTGTACAAAAATGTAACAACTCTTGTATATGTCTCAAAAAAAAAAAAAAAAAAAAAAAAAAAAAAAAAAAAATATCAAACAAGAGGGTTTGTTAAATAAACTCAATTTTAATACAGTAATATGAAGATTGACTGGGAAAAAATAAACATACAACTTGCAAACATTCAATGGAAAACCATGTTAAGTAGCAAAACTCCCACACAAGGAATACAACAGTTTACGGCTGAAGCATACAGTCTGCCTAAAATACAGTAAAAGAGATCAAATCCACAAGGGCCATGACGAGGATTCGACCCTCCGTCCGAGAGCATCCCAGACGCTGCCTTAATCGACTGAGCTACAACATGGTATAAGAATTGCAACTAGAAATTCTACTGAATTTACTTGGATCCTGCAGCCTCTCCGAGACACAAACCAGGATTTTACACAATTCCCCCCATGCACTCCAGCTATGTCAATAGGCCGTTCTACCTCTTCACCCTTACTTCATTACACACAGAAATCACAATAGTGTGATGCAACAAATGAACAAATCCACAAGGGACGTGACGAGGATTTGAACCTGCGTCCGAGAGCATCCCAAACGCTGCCTTAATCGACTGAGCTACGACATGGGGAATTGTGTAAAATCCTGGTTTGTGTCTCAGAGAGGCTGCAGGATCCAAGTAAATTCAGTAGAATTTCTAGTTGCAATTCTTATACCATGTCGTAGCTCAGTCGATTAACGCAGCATCTGGGATGCTCTCGGACGCACGTTCGAATCCTCGTCACGTCCCTTGTGGATTTGTTCATTTGATGCATCATGCTATTGTGATTTGTGTGTGTAATACAGTAAAAAAGGGCCAGGTTGGAATGAGAACACAGGCAACACTACACAAGGAGGAATAAAATAATGGAAATGCTCAAATACGACTATTAAACAAAGCAAAAAATGTTGAACACAAAAATCACTGAAATTGCAGAAGGCCTATTGGTACATATGTGGCAGCTCCTATTCACATCCACCCAAACTCATTCATATATATGTCTAACCTACACTCGAAACAATCAAGAAATCCTACATCTTATGCTATCCGGTAATTGGTTCCACCAATTGACAACCCTGTCATCGAACCAGTATTTACCCAGGTCTTTCCTAAATCTAAACTTAGCCAACTTGTATCCATTGCAGACAATGAGTCACAAATAACGTGGGGTCACATGCCAGTGACCCCTGGCATATGCCACCTACACCCCCAGTGACCCCTGGCATATGTCACCAACACCCCCAGTGACCCCTGGCATATGTCACCTACACCCCCAGTGACCCCTGGCATATGTCACCTACACCCCCAGTGACCCCTGGCACATGTCACCTACACCGACAGTGACCCCAGGCACATGTCACCTACACCTCCAGTGACCCCAGGCATATGTCACCTACACCCCCTGGCATATGTCACCTACACCACCAGTGACCCCTGGCATATGTCACCTACACCCCTAGTGACCCCTGGCATATGTCACCTACACCCCCAGTGACCCCTGGCATATGTCACCTACAACCCCAGTGACCCCAGGCATATGTCACCTACACCCCCTGGCATATGTCACCTACACCACCAGTGACCCCTGGCATATGTCACCTACACCCCCAGTAACCCCTGGCATATGTCACCTACACCCCCAGTGACCCCTGGCATGTCACCTACATCTCCAGTGACCCCTGGCATATGTCACCTACACCCCCAGTGACCCCTGGCAAATGTCACCTACACCCCCAGTGACCCCAGGCATATGTCACCTACACCCCCTGGCATATGTCACCTACACCCCCAGTGACCCCTGGCATATGTCACCTACACCCTCAGTGACCCCTGGCATATGTCACCTACACCCCCAGTGACCCCTGGCATATGTCACCTACACCCTCAGTGACCCCTGGCATATGTCACCTACACCCCCAGTGACCCCTGGCATATGTCACCTACACCTCCAGTGACCCCTGGCATATGTCACCTACACCCCCAGTGACCCCTGGCATATGTCACCTACACCTCCAGTGACCCCTGGCATGTCACCTACACCCCCAGTGACCCCTGGCATATGTCACCTACACCACCAGTGACCCCTGGCATATGTCACCTACACCCCCAGTGACCCCTGGCATATGTCACCTACACCACCAGTGACCCCTGGCATATGTCACCTACACCGACAGTGACCCCTGGCATATGTCACCTACACCCCCAGTGACCCCTGGCATATGTCACCTACACCACCAGTGACCCCTGGCATATGTCACCTACACCACCAGTGACCCCTGGCATATGTCACCTACACCACCAGTGACCCCTGGCATATGTCACCTACACCCCCAGTGACCCCTGGCATATGTCACCTACACCACCAGTGACCCCTGGCATATGTCACCTACACCGACAGTGACCCCTGGCATATGTCACCTACACCACCAGTGACCTGGTTGATGGGGTTCTGGGAGTTCTACTCCCCAAGCCCGGCCCGAGGCCAGGCTTGACGTGTGAGAGTTTGGTCCACCAGGCTGTTGCTTGGAGCGGCCCGCAGGCCCACATACTCATCACAGCCCGGTTGGTCCGGCACTCCTTGAAGAAAACAATCTAGTTTCACCATCCTATCATTTTTTCTGGCTGACACAATACTTGCTTGGTTATGCTCCCTAAACGTTAGTTCGTCAGACATCATTATTCCCAAATCCTTAACATGCTGTTTTCCTACTATGGGAAAATTCGATTGTGTTTTGTACCCTGTATTATGTTTAAGATCCTCATTTTTTGCCGTATCTGAGTACCTGAAATTTATCACCGTTAAACATCATGTTATTTTCTGCTAGCCACTCGAAAACTTTGTTAAATTAATATCTGTTTGTAGTTTATCAATGTCTTCAGCAGAGGTAATTTTCATGCTGATTTTTGTATCATCTGCAAAGGATGACACGAAGCTGTGACTTGTGTTTTGTATATATCTGATATGAGAATAAGGAACAGCAGTGGTGCAAGGTCTGTACCTTGATGTACAGAGCTTTTAACTGCGCTCGGACTCGATTTTACTTCATTGACTGGCATTGACCCCTGGCATATGTCACCTACACCCCCAGTGACCCCTGGCATATGTCACCTACACCCCCAGGGACCCCTGGCATGTCACCTACACCTCCAGTGACCCCTGGCATATGTCACCTACACCCCCAGTGACCCCTGGCATATGTCACCTACACCCCCAGTGACCCCTGGCATATGTCACCACCGACAGTGACCCCTGACATGCCACCTACACCCCCAGTGACCCCTGACATGCCACCTACACCCTCAGTGACCCCTGGCATGTCACCTACACCTCCAGTGACCCCTGACATGCCACCTACACCCCCAGTGACCCCTGACATATGTCACCTACACCCCCAGTGACCCCTGACATATGTCACCTACACCGACAGTCTGGTGAAATTCACTCAATAAAATAACACGAAATTAATTTCAATAATTAAACAATCTCTCAAATTCCTATTGAATATATTCCTCTGGAAATTAGGATTATGTCTCAATAACAAACAACTAATGTTTATTAAGGCAATAGTCGAAGGCAATTTGAAACATTTGAATTTGAATTGGCAGAAAGGAACGTTGGGAGCGGCCGTGTGCACGCACCACCGCTCTCTAAATGCAACTGACCAATCACGCTGAAGGTCGTCCACTCGTTAGTGTGGGGGAGCTTCCGTACCTAGTGCCCTTGATGCCATGTTTTGTTTACTTAAGCAAGCAAGTGCCACCTGCTTGATACCTGCTCCCAGAACTCCTAGAACTTCTGCTCATACAGAACTCCCAGAACCCCAAGACATGATTGGGGTTCTGGGAGTTCTTATACTCGCTGGGAGAATGTTGAACCACAATGAGATGTTACAGCTTCGCCAAGGTGCCAGAGGTTACAGGAACGACAGCTTCACCAAGGTGCCAGGGGTACAGGAACTACAGCTTCACCAAGGTGCCAGGGGTACAGGAACTACAGCTTCACCAAGGTGCCAGGGGTACAGGAACTACAGCTTCACCAAGGTGCCAGGGGTACAGAAACTACAGCTTCACCAAGGTGCCAGGGGTACAGAAACT